GGAAAAAGATAAAAAGGGGAGTTCCAGCTTTCTCTCCTCATCAGTCCATGGCCTATGCCCTGAGGCCACTACCAGGCTCATCTTCCCTTTCCCCCTGCCAAAAGAAGATGTTGCAATGCTCCAACATCCTCGCTCATGCCAACAACTAGCATTTGATGATGTGAATGCCGTTACATTTGTTGTTGTTTTCCTTCTTTTTCTTTTTGTTTTATATACAAATACACTCGACAGTTAGCTTGTTAATTTAATTTTCTATTTTGGTGTTTCTTTCTTGTGCCTGGGTGGTTTTGCTGTGCAGCGATGGATGGGATAGAACAAGTCAGCTGGTTTCACTTGCAAACCTGATGCTTGATCCATATTACCGGACATTCACAGGTTTTCAGGTATTTTTCTGAACAAGGATCTTCTTGTTAACCAACAACCCCACTCCCACTGCCCTTCATGCTTTTGCATTCTATATCTCTCATTCGCAGCATTACAACCCAAGGCTGATTATTATATATACTAGGTTTTCTCTGAACCTTTTCCTGGTTCATATTTGTTGTATGGGACTTCATCACATGTTTGGCCTTACTTTAAAATCAATAAGTGTCATCAACAGACACCTCAAATGTTGTGGTTTTGCAGTTTAATTTCACTTGGTCACATCCACATTTGATGCTGATATTTTTTCAGTGCCCTGGCAACTTGGGAATAACCACTTACCCAGGTTTTTCTTAAATTCTGGACTATTTTTTCTTGATGCAGGCACTTGTTGAAAAAGATTGGCTAGCTTTTGGTCATCCATTTTCAGATCGTGTGGGAATGCCAAGCATATCTGGAACTTCGTTTGAATTAACCAGGCAATCTTCTACTGGAAGTTTTTCATCATCACCCATGCGTCAATCTTCAGGATCATTCACACCTCAAGCTTCTAATTCATCTCATGCGCAGAACAATTATTCCCCCATATTCTTGCAGGTTCTTGTGCTGAGATATATTCATGGTTATTCAATCAATGACATAGCATGTGTTAATTTTCACATTTAGTGGACTTCCAAAATTATAAGAAAAATGATTATGATATTTCTGAGGTTTTGGTGAAAGTTCTTACCCTCCATTAGTTTGGCAAATAGCCTCTGTCCCCCCACAAAAAGAAAAAAGTAAAAAAGTGAAATAGCTGTTCAAAAGTTGGAATATGCTCTGAAAAGGGATGCCATATCAAATACCTTTTTAATGCCATTATTTTTGTTGGTGGGGGCAAAGGGGTTTTCTAAACTAGTGGGGTGTTAATGTATTTTCACTAAAACCTAAAGTGGCTAGTATTTTCCCCAAATTATAATTAATAATGTTTTGTTTGCTGATATAAGTTGATGATTAGTTATGAATTGCTATATGAAAAGTTGTGTTTTATAAGACTTTCTTTTAACCGTTGTGATTGGACATCTGCTTGTATTGCAGTGGGTTGATTGTGTTTCACAGTTGTTAAGGATGTATCCATTTGCTTTCGAGTTCTCTTCAGTATGTATCTTTCTTTTATGCATGACATTCTTTTATCCTGTTTCTTTATGGTTATTCTTTGCTTTCTCTGTAGTTAATGATATTTTCCTTTTTTGGATAAATAGTTAATGATATATTCACTTTATGGTGATTCAGACTTTCCTGGTGGAATTCTTGGACTGTGTTCTTTCATGTCGTTTTGGAAATTTCTTGTGTAACAGGTAATTTCCCTATCATTAGCATTAAGCCTGTATGTGCCAACTTCAATTTTGCGTTATAATGAATTTGAGAAATGCAAAATGAGAAGTGGGGGTGTGAAGGAAATAAATGGTGCAACAAACACTTGGGGCCTATAGAGGCAGCGCATGTGATCATTGTCAATTCTATATATTTGTTACTGTTATGAAACTCAAAGTAATTCCTTGTTTACAGGAATTAATATACATCATTGTTTCTGAATGTCCTTGATCCAGACCTTACAAATGATCTAAATTTTTTCTAAGATACACTAAGACAGAGATAACATAATGTCAGTGTTGCAAAAATGGAAAAGGACACAACTGGATGGCTGGACCAGTTGAATTGGAACCGATGGCCTGTCTGGTTCAATAAGGGAGGCAAACTGCCCTGAAGTTGAGCTGGTCTAAAACCGGTTTGATCTGGTTTTTAAATCAGTTAAACTGTGCTTTTGGTTAAAAATTTTGATTTGCATTATTAATTTTAATTTTTTTGTAAGTGGCAAGATTTGAATATTTACCCTCTTTATTGTTAGTTAACACTCTAACCATTTAATTAAATGTCTCTTTTTAAATCTTTGTATCATATTTAATGTACATTTCATGCTCTTTTAACAAATAGAGGTTGAGATTGAACCGATCAGTTAAACTGGTGGATTTGGAAAGTGGTGGCACCACTGGTTCAATCCCTGTTCTGGTTTTTCAACCATTGCATATTATCAAGCATGTGTTAAGCAATATATGCACTTCACTTCGGTGATTATGTTGGGTTCATTCCACATGATGAGAAAAGTGGTTATCTCTATCCTTATCCTTCATCTAATACAATATCACTATCCTTTTCATTATTTTGGTTCTTTCATAGGAAAATGTGGAATATTTGTGCATAACACCTGTGGGCATCTTTATTTGGAAATCAATGCATTTATCATTGCTATTTTTGCATTTAGCAAGATCATAAGCTGGGATAAATTTGTAACAAAGCTTATGTACCTTCCACTGCATGAGTTCTATATATTGTTTCACAAAATTTTGATGAGTGTAAAATTATTTCCGTACTGTTTAACAGTCCAAAAACTGTGTTGTATAGCTGAGGTAGCTGCAATAGTACATGAAGTTTGTTTTAGATCTTTTGAAGACGACCTTGTGGAGTCAAAAGAAACATTTTCTTTATTTTCTTTCCCTTTAAATTTCTGCGACCCCCTTGCTCATTTCTTGTAATTGTTTGATTTAAATTTTCAGTGAGAAGGAGAGACAACAATGTGGTGTCTATGATGCTTGTGGATGCTTGTGGGCCTATTTGGCTGATCTGCGTTCTTCAGAGGGAAGTTCCCATGCCCATTATAACCTCTTCTATGATCCATTGAAGCATAATGGGCCACTTTTACCTCCCGCAGCTGCTTTAGCCCCAACCCTCTGGCCACTATTTCATCTTCGCTGGGCTTGTCCTTCTGAATCCCAAGCTGGTGAGCTCGAGGCTGAATGCAGGAACATGGCTGTTAAGTTTTCTGAACTGCAAAAGGTATTAGATCTTACAATTTTTGGCCACTAATCCTTCCTTCTGGTTAACCAGAAATACATCATGCCCTGGATAAATTGGAAACATGTAACAGGATACACTACGCACAAGCTTTTTCAGAATTATTTATTGGGTGTTTTAATGCCAACAGGCTAAAGAAGCTGCTAAAAAGAAAGCCAAGGATTACTCAGTAGCCATGGAAACATTGAACGCAGAGTTACGAAATGAGAAACAGGTCAGCAAATCAGCAATGATCTTGGCCAATAGAGCCAGCAAGGAAAGTGCAGCTATAAAGCGAGCTGTACAGTCGCTGGGGTGCAGGGTTAACTTTACAAGTAGTGGTGATTGTACTGTTGATGTGGAAAGCAATCCAACTGAAACCCCACAAAATTTTATGTGTTCTTCCAGGAGAGAATCTGATGGTACGATGGGATGTGATGAGAAAACAGATTTATCTGTTTCAATTACAGTTGTGGCAGATAATGTTGTTTCCAGCAGTCCATTTGGTCGAGTGTGTGAAACTTTATGTCCTTTGCGTACACGGGATGGGGGCTGCCGTTGGCCAGATGCCGGTTGTGCTCAGCTCAGTAGTCAGTTTGTAGGACTGAAGGCAAATTTTGATGCATTTGACCAGCTTTCTATTGATGATGATTATTTTCAGTCTGAATGAGAATTTGGATTTCTAGCTAAGCTTAGGGTATATAATCAGTTTTTGCCTCAATAATCGGATGTAAGGTTCTTTTCTTTCTTGAAGAATTTGAAAGTAGAGTTCACAGATTTGTTGCAAGAAACTGGAGAATTTGGCTTTCTTTATCAGAAGCAGACTAGAGGTGTGGCATAGAGATAGCGACCCTAGCTTTTTGGATGGGTCTCGGGATATGTTGTACAGAGAATGCAGAGTCTATTGTTATCAATCTAGTTAGATGTTGGAGGACAGAAGCAAGAAATTGTACATTCAGGAGGCTATCCTTGGTACCTTTCTTAAGGAGGTGCGTTCAGTATTGCTATTACATGACCATTCTTTTCTTGAATAAAGATTAGTTTGTGTACAGATTTCAGAGACTTTATTTGCAGCAGTGTCACCCAGCAATCGTTGCTTACTGAGTTACTCCATACAATTCACTTGAGAAAAGTTGCTTTGCTTGATCCTCATATGTTCTTGCTTTCTCATTTTTAAGCTGTTAATGCTACTCTTTATTGTAGAATACAAGCTGAGCTAAGCCGTGAATGTTTCGAATGAGCTAGGTTGTTCCCAAAGTACAGCAGTGAGAAATTCCAGGTTTCGAATGAAGTCCAATTCAGTTTCTTCATCTGCAACCATGAGAACAGTATATGAGTAACATAATGCATGAATATTTCTCCTGAAAGACTAGGATTTTACAAGCATGAATCTTTTAGGTGTTGCTTGGAACAGTTAAAGAACTGGCTTTGCACTAGAAAACTACCAAATGAGCTTTCCATTTTTGCTTAGGTGTTTTAGGGAAAAATGGGTAACAAGTTCCCCATTGTGCACCTGCTTAAGTGAGACTTGATGGGTTATTCCATTTCTGTAAAATTTTCAGTCCAAACAGTTGGTGAAATAAACCATATATATATATATATATATATATATTACATTTTATGCTAATGCCCTATTTCTTACCTTCCTCTAATAACATTGTAAAAGGGTATGTGAAAACAGGTGGTGGGGGTGCGGAAGGAGGGGGAATAACTAGAATGGACACTTTTCCAACTCCACGAATATGATGCTTTGGGACTATAAAACATCCTCCCACTCTCCCATTTATGTTGCAGAAGTGTATCCTGACTAAATGCAGGATATTATTGAATAAGGTTGCCCTTCTTAGCCAGCAGCAGTAGAGTTGTCAAGTGGATGGATCCATGGCATTACAGATGAAGCAGGCTCTTTTCATTATGCATCATCGATCTGTGGTACTTCCAATTCATTTACAGTTCTGACTCATCCTTCGTTGTTGGTCAATCAAAGTGCCAACTCGTCCTCCACATAATGCTCTAGAAATATTCCCAGGTTCAAGCAAATCAAATACCACAACTGCACAAAGAGCATATGAAATTTCAGGAAAATACAAAAGGAATGAGTGCAACTAAAATATTACATTACCAGGAATTCCGTTCTCTTCACAGTATGTAATGGCCATCGTGTCCATAGACGATAATCCACTGGAAACCACCTGCCTCCCTGCCTTTATCAGAATGGCAATCATAGACACCATCACCCTTTGTACCTTGAAGGAGTTCGTAAATTCCTCCACCCCTAGCAATCTGCACTGCCACCCTATTAAATACAAATTTCCAATCAGAACAATGGATAAAACTATCACATGAGATGAGAAACCAAAGTCCTATTAATCACGAAAGCATGTACATGTAAGATCCTTTCAATCTTGATTGTGACCACTCGTAGACAGTAATCTCCAATGCAGGAATTATAGATGATGACATGAAAGATTAAGTATTCGAAATTATTTGGAACAACAAAAGTATTCGAAATTCCAGTCTTAAATTTCATAGATACAGTTGCATACATTTAAACTCCGCTCCATCTCCGTTTCCGAAGAAGCCGCATCTTTCGCTAAGGGCCTCCGCAACCTCCTCCCAATCTCTCCCGCGGTTGAGTTGGTTAAACTTTTCAGTATAAGCCTCGAGAAGACACGCGATCGCTGTGTCCGACCACTCTTCGCGGTCTTTCCGGTACTCGGGTTCGGGTTTCTTTCGTGGGGGTCGGGGTTCTGAGAAGAATCCGGCTTGTCCTCCGGGGCAAACGGAGTTTTCGGATGAGAGCGTCGGAGGCGCGTGGCGATGAATGACATGGAAAATTAGCTAATCTTCTGGGCCCACAATGTGCAAGCTATTTCTCCAACATCTTCTAGGCCAACGCTGCAACTTACCTGGATTATCCAATCAAAAACTTCTTTTATTATTATAAATATCAAAATATTACTATATAATTAAATTAAGATAAATCAGCTAATATTTTGCAAGTTACTTTGTGACATTTTTTCCACTAATATTACATAATATTTATGTAAATAGTAGAGCCAATTAAAATCCATAAACAGGTTTACTAGGTTTGATTTAGTATAATTATTTCCACAAGTAAATTTAAAGAGTTTTCAAGTGTCCACTAATTGTATTAATTGAAATAATTAAATATATTAATGTAATCATTAAGTAGTCATTGACAATTTAGTGCATGAAGTGCAAATTTACATTAAATAGGCAATATTCATTTTACCTTTAAAGTCAGGGGAGAGGGGACCTTGAAATATGATGAAATTACTGAATAGATACCAGATTTAAGTGATTTTCCTTTCCCCCAACTGGGCATTATCATGTGACACTTGATTTAATTTTATGTTATTTTCTGAGTCTAATCAAAGATCAATGTGCTTCTTCTCAAATCTATCCATATACTTGTTAAAAAAACATACTCAATTTAAAGTTATTTGAGTTGCTTCAATGTTAAGACTTCAGACCCCCGTAAATGGCCCAAGATACATCAGCCATGAAACTGCATTTTGTACAAGTAAAAGAGGCAAAACTTGATGAGCAGTGATGTAACTCATAAAGCCTGGACTCTGATTGCTAAGCATTAGGAACAGAAAGGAGGACATGTTCTCCAGTTTAGTATTGACTCCTAAAAGTCCAGAATGTAAATTGTCTGACAAACACAAAATCCAAGGATGTTTCATACATATTGAGAGTCATCATCAGCTGGAGACTGCTCATCGTCGGATGATTCCTTCTTGCCTCCCATCTCCTTCCTTTCCTTCAATCGTGCCCAAATCCACTTCAGGAAAAAGAAACCACCAATGGCATAAACCTGACAGCATATTAACTAATTTGATTAGAACACACCTATTGGAGTGAAAAGGTGTTTGCAGTGAAGGATACAACAATGTGCTCATGTTTTGATATACAGCCCCGAAAGCCAGTTAATCTATTATACTTGATAAACAACACAACCAGAAAACTAATGGAAGGGAGTGAGGCTGTGGCCGCTGTGGTCCAGATGGAGTGTGGTCATTTCTTCTGTGTAGCTAAAACCGACATAACTTGCAGAATTCAAAACATTGGAGTGTAGGAATCCCTCCTCCAATGATTCAGCAAAGAGCCAATTATTCCACTAGTAAAACAAATACCTATGAAAATATATATATTTTTTAATTTGAGGAAGGAGAATTCTATCTCAACTATTCAGGCAGGGGATCATGTACCAATCAATTAGTTAAATGCTCAAATGCAAATACCTATGAAAATATATCTACAAACAGATACATATCTACCACATGTATTTAAGGTTCAGAATTCAGATAGCTTCATGGAAACAAACCATCTAAATTTTTACTAATTTCAGACAAAAAATTTAATTTTACTAATTCCAGTTTTCGGTAATCATCTCTATGAACAGTAAGAATTCTGAAAGATGATAGAAGACATGGCCGGATCTGATCAAAACCAATGAGAAAAGGTACATGGAGTAAAAAGTATAATTGAGAAAAGTAAGGGGGAACAGAGAAAATGAAAAGCATTTATAAAAAAGATAGAAATCAGCTTCAAAAGTATAACTTGTACCTCAAGATAAGGCCAACATTGCTAGAAGATAAAGAAAGATTAACATCAATAAGCACACCTATAAAGTTAGGCTAAGAGGTAAAGAAGACAACAACTGTGGCTTGGTTGCAAATTAACAATATAGACAAATCGGACATAGAGGAAAATCAATGGCAATGGAACTCAGGAAGTTTGGTGCTAGGAAAACTTATTTGCATACAATCATCCTAAATTATTAATGAAAAATGGAAGACAAGAATGTTATAAAATATAAATTGTTAGAATCCCTTACAAATGGATCTTAGCTCTCAATAAACTGGTCATTAAAGGTTGGAGATCATGTATTGCTTCTTAGAAGTCACATCCTGACACCTCCAAGTAAAATCAAAATAAATCATTTTTGAAACTTTTTGCAAGTAGAAAATGCCATTTCTTTGAAAGTGAATTATATAAGAGAAAGTAATAATCTCCCATGAATATTCACTTATATTTTTACAAAGAAATAAAATTTAACCCGTTGGTCTCCATCATATTATTAGTTATTCTTCCAAGTATTTACCAATCATAAAAGATTATTAAACTTCCATTGGTTTATAAGTTATCAAATAAACATAAAATTATACAATCATCTTTTATTAACCAATAATGAAAATTAGAGGTGGCAAAACAAACCTGAAACCAAAAACCCATTTGAAAAAGTTCAAACCTGAAACCAACCAGACCCAATTTAACCAAAAAGTTAAAGACCTGACCCCAAAAAAATCCAAAAGGGCCTAAACCAGAAAATTATGTTGAAATGGTCACATTTTACATAAAATCTAAAATGGAATGAAACTAGCCCAAACCATAAAGGACCTGCCGAAGTGACTCAAACCCGAAGTCACTTGAACCCAAAGTCGACCGGACCGGACCTGCCTATTTGCCACCTCTAACCAGAATACTGCAACTATTCATCTTACACAACCGGGAAGCTATATAACAAGACTTATGAAATAATCCAGCTTACCAAGAACATTCTCCGACTACTCTAAGCAGCCTTTTATAATTTTTTCAAAAACAAGGCTACTATGGCGAAAGCCAAGCTACTTAATCACTTTTAGTTATTTATATACTTAACAACTAAATTACTAAGTTTTTAAATCTGAATGACAACATAAGCAGCTAGTGAGATTTTACAAGTAACACGTTTCATGTGAAGAAACCCAACAATCTGTGAGCCTGTCAGAACCAATCTGGTCTTAATTCAACCCATTAACAAAAAAAGTACTTTATCCAATCTTTTATTGAGAAACTAATGTATTCTCTATCATCTGTTGTCAAAATGCTAACACAACTATTACCTGCTTATAAGGCAGAACAAATGAATTTGACGGAATATATGATTTATACATCTTCCTCTTTACCAATAATTATTGACTATATCAATCATCAAGAAACAGTTTTCACCAACATTTCAGACAATTGACATCATGTAATCACTCCACTTCTATCCTAACAACCTTGGAAGAACATTTTCTTTCAAAATACCTTGTCCCAACAGTCTAAACCACAGATTTAATGAATTTCAACAAAATAATTTACTGATATTCTGCATCATCCCACATCTGTACCAGATCATCACAAAACCAATTTGATCTGCACATCTTCAGAGCTCCAGGAGAATTTTATAACAATATGACTAAAAGACAGTCACACATACGGGCTCTTTCCAGGACGCATTGCAAACTATTCCCTCTATTTTTTTTTTTAATTTTGGCCGTGCCAAAACTATATCTACTTTACTTTAATGAACACTTACAGCTCTTAACTTTTTCTATGTTTCAATACATATAAAATTCTTCTTAAAAAATATTAAAAACACTAACATCAAAGCATTTTCTTAACCTCTACGCCTAGTCAAATGTGGACATTCAATTTGAAACGGAGAGGGTATTAAAGTTCTAGAGACTTAAGTTGTCAACCTCATAGTTTCCATCTTATTTTGCTGTTGACACTGCTAAAAGATTGAGCGTTTATGATCAACAACATATCCCAAGAAGGAGTCCAAAAGTTACTCTTTTTGCTGATGGAACATATTAACAATGTCAACCACAATATATAAAACCTAGGGTTTTAGATTTTATGCACTAGTCATTAATTCAGAAATTCCCATTTACCCTACCCTACCCTATTCATTTCTTTCTACTTCCTGCATACATTGCTACCACTGTTAAAACTACTCCTTCATATATGATAGAAAAGTTATTATTTGATGCACTTTCAGTGTACAATCATTACAATTAAGTGGCAAAGTGTGGTTCACTGACAATCTATGGAAAAACTGAACAACAACAGTGCATCAAACACAAACTCATTACAAAAAACCAGAAAGAAGAAAAAAATCTGAATAAAAAGATTATATTTGGAAAAACCAACCAAACTTTGCTTCTTTTAACTACATTTAGTTACCCAAAACACCCAAAAACAGAAAAAAAAAATAAAAGCAATATACCTGCCAGAGAACTATAGGGTTAGAAGTCCTCCCAATGCACTCTTCCGCCTCCATTTCCAGCGGCGGCGGAAATTTCTGGAGGTTTCCTATAAATACAGAGGGTGGTTTCAGAGTTTCAACTTCTTCCTCCTTTTGAACCGAAGCCTCAGGATTTTTGGAAGGTTGCTTAAAGAAAGGGAACTTCAGCTCTATTTTGGGTAACATCGAGAAGATGTTTTTGGGTTCTACAGAATTATCATTTTTGGTTTGAATTACCTTGTTCTCTGCTTCCGCCATTGCTTAGCATAGACTTGTTTCTGACTGCAGTCTGCAGGCAGGGGTTTTTGATTCATTGCATCGGCGGAGAAAGCAGAGAGGTCACGTGCTTATTGCACGTGCTTTGCTTTTGAAGAATTTTTAATGAGTTTTTTTTATTCATTTATTTTTTGACTTTAATAAATTTTGAAGGAAAAAAAAAAAGAAACAATGCAAGTTTGGCTTAGAAAAATAAGCAAAAAATTGATATTTGTAGAAAAAATTGCAATTAATTTATTATCTTTTAAAAGAATTAATTATGCATTGAATGAATTTTCTTTTTTAAAATATTATTACAAACTATTTTTAACTAAAACTTATCCATACTTAATTATAAAAAAAATCCAAATTAATTAATGATTAGCTGTGACAATAAAATAATGTATTATCAAACTTTTCAAGCAATCAACTGAACTCTAATTAATTAGCCTATAAATATGTTTGGAGTTTTTCATGTAAACACATTAAGATGTTCCACTCATTAACAAGCTAACCTAACTAGAGTTATTCACGGATATAAAATATTATTATATTAATAAATACTCTTTTTATTTTATGCATAATGTTGTATAATTTTTATTAAAACTTTTCAACTTTAATTATATATATTTTTCAAATAATCATTTATTAAAATTTTAAAACATTAACTTTCAAAACTTGGAATAAAGTAATTTTATTTAAAAC